GGGGACACCAAGGGTGGGGAGAACCTGGAAAACCTCAACGTGGGGACACCAAGGGTGGGGAAAACCTGGAGATGGGGACAACCTGGGGTGGGGACAACTTGGAGAACCTCAATGAGAGGACACCAAGAGCGAGGAGAACCTGGAGAACCTCAAGGTGGGGACATCAAGGGGTGGGGAGAACGTGGAGAACATCAAAGTGGGGACACCAAGGGTGGGGAGAACCTGGAGAACTTGGACATGGGGACACCAAGGGTGGGGAAAACCTGGAGATGGGGACAACCTGGGGTGGGGACAACTTGGAGAACCTCAATGAGAGGACACCAAGAGCGAGGAGAACCTGGAGAACCTCAAGGTGGGGACATCAAGGGGTGGGGAGAACGTGGAGAACATCAAGGTGGGGACACCAAGGGTGGGGAGAACCTGGAGAACTTGGACATGGGGACACCAAGGGTGGGGAAAACCTGGAGATGGGGACAACCTGGGGTGGGGACAACTTGGAGAACCTCAATGAGAGGACACCAAGAGCGAGGAGAACCTGGAGAACCTCAAGGTGGGGACATCAAGGGGTGGGGAGAACGTGGAGAACATCAAGGTGGGGACACCAAGGGTGGGGAGAACCTGGAGAACTTGGACATGGGGACACCAAGGGTGGGGAAAACCTGGAGATGGGGACAACCTGGGGTGGGGACAACTTGGAGAACCTCAATGAGAGGACACCAAGAGCGAGGAGAACCTGGAGAACCTCCCAAAAAACCAGCAGGAGACCCCAAAAGAACACCAGGAGAACCCAAAAAACCAGCAGGAGACCCCAAAAAACCAGCAGGAGACCCTAAAAAACATCAGGAGAACCCAAAAAACCAGCAGGAGACCCCAAAAGAACACCAGGAGAACCCAAAAAACCAGCAGGAGACCCCAAAAAAACACCAGGAGACCCCAAAAAAACACCAGGAGAACCCAAAAAAACACCAGGAGACCCCAAAAAACCAGCAGGAGACCCCAAAAAAACACCAGGAGAACCCAAAAAACCACCACGAGACCCCAGAAAACCACCAGGAGAACCCAAAAAGACATCGGGAGAGCCCCAAAAAACATCAGGAGAACCCAGAAAACCACCAGGAGACACCAAAAACCAACAGAAGACCATCGGGAGAGCCCCAAAAAACATCAGGAGAACCCAGAAAACCACCAGGAAATCCCAAAAAAACGTCAGGAGGACCCAAAAAACCACCAAGAGACTCCATAAAACCATCAGGAGATCCCCAAAAACCATCAGGAGGACCCAAAAAACATCACGAAACCCCAAAAAATCACCAGGAGACACCAAAAAACACCAGAAGAACCTAAAAAACCATCGGGAGAGCCCCAAAAAACATCAGGAGAACCCAGAAAACCACGAGACCCCCCAAAAAATCAGAAAATCCCCCAAAAACATCAGGAGAGCCCAAAAAACATCAGGAGATCCCAAAAACCAACAGAAGATCCCAAAAAAACATCAAGAGACCCCCAAAAACCATCAGGAGACCCCAAAAAAC